CTTCTTTAGATTATTATTTTTATGTACAGTGCCCTGAGACCACGTATTTTGTGACTTGGCGCTGTATAAATAAACTGAATTTAATTTAATTGAATGTAGGCTACATCTAGAACCACACCTACCAAAAATAATCCGCTAACTAAACATAGATTCACTAGCTTTAAACAAGTAAAAAACATGAAAATAGATCAAAATAACAGAAGCTAACACTAACAGAACTGTCCCTGAGTCTGAGTCACATGCCTTTGTCTTCTTTYAGCTGAAGACTGGTGGAACTGACAAAACTACTGATGTTACACTGTTAGTTAGCTTTTATCAAACAGAAACTTGGTAAAACCTAATTTAGCAGAGGCTAATTTGTCCGCTACTTTCAAAGTTAATAAAACAGCTAATCCACTAAACCAAAGGCTGTGTGCAAATTCAGAGGCCTGGTCCTCCGAAGACCGAATTTGTCAATATGAGAATGATAATAATTCAAATATATTGATATTTTTCTAATTTTGATCTAAGGACGGGAGGCTAGACCGTCCAAATTAACAGCCACTTTTCTCCGGTCTTTGTGGTCGACCAAGAACCCGGCCCACCTAGACCTTGTAGGCCGGGTCCTTTGAATTACCCAGCCTCTGAATTTGGCCACAGCAAAAAAATTAGTTCTGCTCTCAGCTGATTAGCAGAACCATACTGTCAAGAACTCGTTAAGGCAGCCTAATTAAAAATGGCTGCTTACCAAAGATAAAAATGGTCAGTTAGCTACAGATACTGAGCTAAACGTTGGTGTGGTAGTAGCTGAGAGTCATCCTCATTGTGAATGCTAACTGTTTGTAAAGTTTTCCTTCAGTTTGGATCTAAACGTGTTTTCCTGAACAACTCTTTGAACCTGGTCCCGCAGGGGGAGGCAGTGAGGTTGCGGCCCGGGCGCTCAGCCTGCCGGACCTGAACCAGGTTCAGACCCAAGCSCTCCCAGCTGGCCTTGAAATGGAAGAACGCAGCGCGTTGGAGGAGGAGATCGGCCACATCGACCGCATGATGGAGGACATGGAGGCGAAGGTGAACGTACTGCGCTGGATGGTGGAGCCCCGCAGGCCGCAGTACGCCGACCCCATCAGCAGCGCCGACAGCATGGCTCTGGTCTCTGTGGACGAGGAGCAGCCCGGGTCCACATCCCAGCCTCAGAGCCAGCGCAGTCACATCTTTGTGCTTGTGTTGCTCTTCACCGTCATCGTAGTGGCAGCCATTTTATCTGTCTGTGTTTTCATTTTCTCATGAACAAAACCTTAAAATGTTTTCTGTAAATCATTAAAACTGGATAAATGGCGAGTTTTGTTTGTACACTAGTTTTTCTTTAAAGCTTTTAGATTATTTGAAAGGAGCTAAATGATTTTCTGTTAGTTGAAATTAAATGAATTCAAAGCTGCTTTGAAAGAGGGCCTGACTGATAATTTWAACTTGTTTAATAAATATGGTTTAATTGATCATTGCATTTTCTCTGCAAAGTTTTTGATACAAAAAAAAAACATATTTTTTTCTTGTTGCCGTCTGGATGTCAGACACTGATGCCTGTTTTAACTTGAGATTGATCATCTGCTTTGTTTTATTGTTGGACAGCCTACATATTTACAATTCTTTATTATTTGACTTTTTTATTTGATTGTCAGTCTATCTTTTTATATTTTAATATTTTTTTTACTGTAAAGTTTTTTCATTTAAAACAAAACAACATAAATTCAACATACAACAACAACAAAATAAATCATAAATTAAATGAAAGGTAGCAGCAGAAG